AGCTCTGGAGATTGCTCAGCTGAAGCCTATCGTTAAATCGCTGCCAGGAGGCCTGGGTGAGAAAATCTTTTTTTTGTAATGTTGGTGTGTGCCTAAATCGTTTTTTTGTAATGTGTGTGCCTAAATCGTTGGCCCATATGTTCATTATTAAAAAAAAAAAATTATCATGATGGGATTTTTCTTCAGGGATCTGTACCAAACACAGAATTGTTCTAACGTCTCTATAATTTGTAGCGGGACATCTCTGCAACACCACATCATTGTGGTATTTTGATGTAAATGTAGCTTTTTACATATATTCTGCCTTCGGGAATTTGGAATCCTAATACTATTACATATTGCGTTTATTTTGTTGTATTCAGAGTAATTGTTCAGCTCTTCTCCGGTGTCCTGACACAGATTAGGCAGGCGGCTGTATCAGATGAATCTTTGACCTCCCTTCCCCAGCTGTAGTCTGTGTGTGGCAGCTCCACTCTGCACAGTTTCACAGGCACATTATTCTTAGCTGGCTTCAGGTCACGGTTCTGACATGACAGTGACTCTCACTTTCAGATCAGATATAATCTGAGGGCCATGTTCCACTTTAACAGATGTAACCTATGGTGAATGCTTGGTATGCTGATGCATGGGCCTCCTCTCTGCCCAGAGTCTTAGTTTAGCTGCTGTCAGTCTGCAGTTTATCACCTTTATGTCTGTCACCCTCTAAACGTCCTTAAATGATCAGAGCAACCGCTCACTGCTCTGGTGGGATAACAGACTGCTTCAGTCCATGTGACACTGACAAACGTGTGTGTGTCGGTGTGTGAGAGGTTCAAACTGCACTACTCACCGCTTTAGTTTTCACTTACTAGAGCCAAGATATTGATCTGTAACCCAGGGTTTAATGTCTACTTAGGTTTGCCCTTTAATTATGTGAGAGTTACAATTAAGAGTCTAATGTTGCATTTAAAGTGGACTGCTCTTAACTGCAGTGAGTTCTCAAGGGTGCACAGTTCGAAATAGTTTGTGAATATAAACTATGTTATAATAACACAATATATTAATTCAACGCTAAACACACACAAATATTTTCATTTTCTTCCCCAAATGGTAGTAAAATAATAATTTAATCAAAAAACACAGCAATGTTCCCATGGTTGATGTGTATCTCTTTACTATTTAACTGCCCAATAAGGTTGAACATCTCTAGAACTCAAAACACAAACTGATAAATCGCTGGAATTTAATTCTTAAGCATAATTTTAAGACTTGACATCATTCAGAAACCAGAGATGTGAATGGAAAATCGATAGGATATGTATGTGTAAGCTAAGAGTTAAAGGCCAATCAATTTGCCCTCTCATTTAGTTGAAAGCATAACGTAGTGCCAATGTCACGTGTCAGTAGTTAAAATCTGTCCGCCTGTATATTAATGTACGTAAGATAAATTAATGTTAATATTTGTGTGTTTTGTTTGCTGTATTATAATTGTTTCCTCTGCAGATGCCATGGTGACAGAGGGAGGAGAGAACTTCAGTCAGGGTCAGAGACAGCTGTTCTGTCTGGCCCGAGCCTTCGTGAGGAAGAGCAGCATCCTCATCATGGACGAAGCCACTGCGTCCATCGACATGGCAACGGTCAGTGTGTGTCAGTGTGTGAGGGCATACAGAGGGAAATGGTGCAGGGTGGGCTATTTTAAAGTCAGTGATATTAGCTAAATTGCAATGAATATTTCAGTCCTTAATATAACTCAATACTGGAGTCTACTGAAGTCAAGTCATCGATTTTCTTTCACTGCAGTAAAAGTAGGTTGTTTTGTTCCCTCTTAAACAGGAAGTCAATAAATGTTTGCTTAACAAATGTGCAGATACCCTGAAATAACTAAAGAGATATTTGTTGTAGATGTAAAATCTGCAACTGAATCAACTGATCATATAGAAACATTTTTGATATCAAAAATTGATTTAATTATAATTATGTTAACTGTTAGTCCATTTATTTGAAGATATTATGTAATTATGGTATTGATACCGGGTTCTGATCAGGTCATGGTTACAGTCTGAAACCGATGCGTTGGTAATGAATAGGAGAATAAAAAGGAAGCCGAAGTGGAGCGTGTGTAACTCAGAAAGAGAGGGTGAACATAATATACTGGCTTTTTTTTATGACATACTATGTCACTAATGGGGCGAAGCCTGCGAGCTAGTTCAGGCAGTCAACTCGAGCACTTATGCTGCATTCATACATAACGCCCCTTGCCACTCTACACCAACCAAACAGAGTCTCCTTAATATGCCGCTCTATTTAACCTGCCAGATCTCTCTCCATGCATTGCTTGCTGCTGCTATTGCTGCAGCTACCTCTACGTCGCTGCTGCTTGCCTGCCCCACCACCACCCCAGCTTACACCTGTAGGCTCGGGGGTTAGTTATTTAATCATCACTCATCGTGCTATGTGTATCTATGGAGTGATGATGCCCGAGCCTAGTCGCCAAACTCAACTATATGCTGCTTCTAATAAACATGTTAAGAAACACGTGAGTTGTCTGACTGAACTATACTGTACTAGCTATTAATTTGACCAACACAAAATATCTACTTTTATGTTGTACTATACTTACATTTTCTTACATAATATGCTTACTTTTTATATAGTTTTATGAATTATACTATCAAATTTGTATGTAATGAAATGTTAACAGTGTTCCCCAGAATAATATATAGTGAGATTAGCTATTGGTATTAAGTGTTGCCTGAAATTAAATAGCACAAAATAAATACTATATACTCCTGGGACCCAGCCCATTGACAAATGTTCATTGTAGTGGACATTTTGTTAACATGCATCTCCAGTGTCTTGGAGGGGCGCTGCGCCCCGCCAACGGAGCCCCGCCAACGGAGCCCCGCCAACGGAGCCCCGCGCCCCCCCTGCAATTCAAGTTTTTATTTTTTTTTATTAATTTTTTTTATATATATATATATATATAATATATAGCACCAAATTGCAACTAATCTATATCTACTGTCACTTTTCACATTGAACATGTGCTCTTTTATTAAATAAACTAAACACTTTCATTTTAAGTTGTGAGTTTAGTGTTTTTGACCCTAAGAAACACTGATGCATTAATCAATAACAATAATCCACAGCTCCTCTCTCTGCTCCAGACGATTTAAAAAATATATATCCCAATGCCACCACCCCCCCCCCCCCCCCCCCCCCCCCCACCCCCAACCCCCGCCACCCTGATCTCCTTTTACTCTTTTGAGGTACTCTATCAATCTCTGCTGTACTGTACAGACTCGGACATCCTGGGCTTTCCAGTGATATGTCATTGGTTAAAATTGCATACTGCAACCAAACTAGTTTTTTAGTGACCAAATAAACAGCAATGTTCAGATAAATTACTCATTTATGTTTTAAATAAAGGTGAATGTATTATTGTATTAATATCACTCTATAACCATAATACGTTACATAGTCTATCTGTTAATTTTGGCTGTCTTTTCAAACTAAAATGGTCCTGACGTCCTCTACAGTGGACATACTGTAACATTTAAAAATCTAATTACATTTAAAAAGTCTAAATTGCAAGATGTTTTTTTAACCCTAAATAGGTAGGAAATAAAGAAGATTGGAAAACATTTGTTTTCGTCGGTTCCCAGGAGGATATGGTATGATGTGGTCAAAACAGTATAAGATGACATAGTAGAGTTTATGATATTAACATAATATAGTAAAATAAAGCACAGTATGTTATGAGGTATAGTATAGGGTGCAATGCTACAGCAGTACAGTGCAGCAGCCTATCAGGATATGGAGTGTAACATAGTGTTAAACAGGGCAACAGAACATGTAAGCTTTTCCAATGGACATTTATTTTTGCTTTATTGTCCTTGATTGTGAACCTTCGTCTGTCCCCACAGGAGAGCATCCTGCAGAAGGTGGTGATGACCGCTTTTGCTGACCGGACAGTGGTTACTATAGCAGTGAGTATCTCCCACAGTAAAACACGCAGTGCTCCCTTTCCCCCTGAGAGCGCTGACCTTCCTCCTGCTGATGCAGTTCCTGTAAAGTGATGCAAAGCAGCAGTGTGGACACAAAAAAAAACACATTTCTTTTGGACTGCTTCCTGAAAGGTAAGAGAGAGGGGAAATCAGAGAAGAGCCTAAACTTATTGGACAATTTTGCGACGGGGTTCTTCACATAATTTCATGATGAAATAAAGATAACCCATGGATGTCATAACTCTTCACTTCAGATAAGATAAACTTGTGAAAAAAAAGGAAGGGCAACCAGAAACCTGTGATGACTTTAAAAAGCAGCGGAGGAACATTTTCCCGAGCCAGACTCTCTCATTTCATCTCTTTCAGTAGTTTAACAGCAAGTTGCATGTGTATTTCATAGACTGGTATTTCATTAAGTTGTGTAAACATTATTTTTTTCTCCCCCTCCGCCCTCAGCATCGCGTCCACACCATCCTGAATGCCGACCTGGTGATTGTGATGAAGCGGGGGGTGATCCAGGAGTACGACCGGCCCGAGGCCCTGCTGGAGAAGGAGGACAGCGTCTTCGGAGCCTTTGTGCGAGCAGACAAATAGCACAAGAACAGAAAGTGAGAAGAAGCATTAGAAGAAGACATTCAAAGTGCAATTGTCCCATGACAGATATATAAGAAGATATATCTTTTTATTTTTTAATCATGTTGTATAATATTTGTACATAAAATTGTTAATTATTTGATAATAAAAGATAAAATATCATTAACATGTGTGTTTTTTTGGTTGGGGCTGTTTTGAAAAAGATATTGGATGGAGAATGTGTTGTGCTTGTGTGACAGAAACGTTATGACCTGTACAAAACACATGAGCCACTGGCCGATGGGTGAACATGAGCTGAGGGATACATGATGCTGGAGGGTAAAGAGCCAAAACACTGCATAGTATCATCTTCATATACTCAGACGTGTCAGAGTGGGAGGAGCAGCTGCTGGCTGACTTATATTAGAAAGTTATACGCCTTTCAAAGGAGCACATTCGCTTGTAAAATAAAGTTTCCATGGGTGATGTTGAAAGAGAAATGAGAAGGAAGAAACCCCAGGATGGGAGTTTAATTAGAAAACTAGATCTGGGTCCTATGGGTGAACAGCCGGCTTTCTATTCTTCTTAAGCCAAGTTTATATCGAAAAGCCTGAGGGTGATTTTCCATAGTGTCCTATATTTAACCCATTACATATTCAAAGCGTAAGCTGCCTGTGGCTGCCCAACTGAACACATCTTTTAATGTGTGATGATGGGCCTACTCCTGCATTGAAAATCACAGGAAGGGCAGCACAGAGATGGTGGAGGGGAGGAGGGGGGGGGGGGGGGGGGGGAACCTCCTCTCCACCTCTCATCGTCTCCATCTCACGTTACCGAGCTTTAGTGAAGTGGCAGAGTCAGCACAGAGCCAACTGTGCCACTAAAGGCTGCCTTCTCACCCAAAGGTGCTCAAAGTCAGCCAGAGGCCCATTATGCTCCTGCACCTCTCACTTAATGCGCACCATCGGTGAGTGGATTCACGGTGAGACGGGGCGGCGCGTTGATACATTCCCGGTCTGTCGGTGGGTGCTGTGAGTGACGGCGGCAGCTGCGGAGCTGAAAGAAGATTTTTTCTCCTGGGACTTCGCGTCTGATCTAGAGGCAACGTGAGGAGCGCACATACCTCCAGAAAACGGACATGACCCTCCGTCCTGCACCAGACAGCTGCTGAGGAGCTCGGCTGGTAAAAACAGGCGTTGGGATAAAGATAAATATTTCCCTTTTCATGGGACTATAGTATGGGAGCGCTATGTTGTCCAGGAAAGGACTCATTCCTGAGGATTACTTGCTCACACGTTTGGCTGAGAATGTCCAGCAGCCAAAGTTTAAAGCCAAACCGAGGAAAGCTCGATTTGTCGCCAAGAATGGCACCTGCAATGTAGCGCACACCAACATCCGAGAGCAGGGTCGATTCTTGCAGGACGTCTTCACAACTCTGGTGGATTTAAAATGGCTCCACACGCTCATCATTTTCACCATGTCCTTCCTGTGCAGCTGGCTCCTCTTCGGGATGATCTGGTGGCTCATTGCCTTTGCGCACGGCGACTTGCACCAGACAGACGAAGAGTTTGTCCCGTGCGTAACGAACATCCACTCCTTCTCCTCCGCTTTCCTCTTCTCCATAGAGGTGCAGGTGACCATCGGCTTTGGGGGCCGGATGGTCACGGAGGAATGCGTATCTGCCATCATCCTCCTGATCACACAGAACATCGTCGGGCTGCTCATTAACGCCATCATGCTTGGCTGCATCTTCATGAAAACTGCGCAGGCCCATCGGCGCGCAGAGACGCTCATTTTCAGCAAGCACGCCGTCATCTCCGTGCGGAACAACAAACTGTGCTTCATGATCCGCATCGGGGACCTGAGGAAAAGCATGATCATCAGCGCCACCGTGCGGCTGCAGGTGGTCCGGAGCACCTCCACACAGGAGGGCGACGTGGTGCCTCTGGACCAGGTGGACATCCACATGGATAACCCGGTGGGCACCAATGGCATCTTCCTGGTGTCCCCGCTAATTATCTGTCACGTGATCGACAAGGACAGCCCTCTGTATTCGATGTCAGCTTTCGACCTGCAGCACGAGAACGTGGAGGTGGTGGCAGTGCTGGAGGGGGTGGTGGAGACCACGGGCATCACCATGCAGGCCAGGACCTCCTATGTGTCGGAGGAGATCCTGTGGGGGCAGCGCTTCGTGCCCACAGTCTCGGAGGAGGACGGCATGTACGCGGTGGACTACTCCAAGTTCGGGAACACAATGAAGGTCCCGACTCCCTCCTGCAGCGCCAAGAAACTGGACGATGTGGGAGGCATCGCGCGCTTTAAGCTGAACGAGGGCGTCACCTTGCGGGCGACCGGGAGAAGGCGGCGGGCCTCCGCGGCCTCCCGCAGGTCCCGGATGGAAAAGTGAACTATGTAGGCTAAACCAGCATTTTATATCTGAATGAATTATTTAAGGTTTAAAGATGTTTAATTGACAAATATGATTTTATAATTAATATATGTTGCTCTTATCAGTAATCCACATCACAGTTCTATATGCAGTCAGATAAACGCACATCAACTCAGGGTTAGTGTGCCCATGCACATAGATTGCACTGAGAATAACAGTATGTAAGTCTTGTAAAAACTGGGGAGTTCTGGTACCCAGAATGAAAAGAAAGTTCAGTTTGGATGAGTTTGATTTCTTTGTTTTAATCAAAAGTGGCTGCATGTATTTATAAGCAATAAAGGATAATACCTCATTTTAATAAGTGTGTTGTTTATAAGGAGTCTTGATAATTTGAAAAATCATGATTTTTAAAAAGGACACAATGATTTATATTTTTTTCAAGCAGAAAATCCAGTATGCCAAATGATTTGGCAGCATTTTGATAGAGATAACTTTAAATTGGTAAAGAAATCGAGACAAAGATCTATGCAATACATTTGTATAATGTCATAAATCGTCACTGTCGATAGATAAACTTTCCTGTCTGATTTATTGTTTTAGCTCTACTCACAACAGAGCAAAAAAAGAACATTTCCAACAGCAGAGGCTTAGATTTTCTGACTTCTTCTCCCTAGTAGGATTCAAATCTTCAGACGCAATCCTAGATCCAATAATGCAACCATCTATTCATTTGACCCTCCCTTCCTGGTTGACCTCCGTCCCTTTCAAAACATACCCCAGTTTACAAAACAGGCTTTCTGTTAGCAGTTTTTACTTCACAAAGCTCCTTCAGTAACAGAGCACATTAGAAACTGTGTTTACAAACCGAGCAGCACTCCTCATGACCTGTGAACTGTAAAATAAATTGAGTTCCCCTTTAAAAATAGCATCGTGTTTATGAGGCTGAGCACAAGACGCTCATGTTTCGTTCGTCCTGAATAATTGACACACTGATAAAAAAAGACACAGACACAAGATGGCATTTCTCTCTTTTATTAGATTATAATCCGCAGAGCTTAAAATATTAAATTGCTTTTAACTTAGTTAATAATTAAAATACATAAAAACGAGAGCCAAAACTGAAGAACCCTGCAAAAAAAATAAAAAATAAAAATAAATAAAAAAGGAGAATTATAAACCCAATCCTCCTCCATACAGAGGCTATGTCTGATAGAACCCGAATGCGATTCTTTGTACAGTAAAGTCCAAGCAGACTGTGCATTTTCTATACATGTGTAATGATACCATTATTGTTATTATCTCTGAACTAATCTTCCTCTGATAATCTTTTTTAAAAAGCAAATTGTAAAAGGAGAGAGGTCAAACAATAATCCAGAAGTGGAGATTTTTGTTATTTTGCACTGGGAGTACTGGTGACTGTTACACAGCAGAGCAGCTCCACACCATCCACTCCCACCCCTCTGTCTGTCTCCATCTCTGCCTCTGTGGGCCTGCAGACATTACCTCATGTCTTTGTCCTTTTGTGCTGCTGGAGCGGGTGGAGGTGGTGTTGTTTTTTGTGGGGGGGCTTCTGGTATGCTGAACACCAGCAAACAGCTCTGACTCAGCCTCAATCTGTCTGAAAGCATCACCTCTCTGATCAGATTAAATATCTAACATACAATCTTTATTTTTTTCTTCTCCCTGTGTCTGTGGCCTTCTCTTTATGTGTGCTGCCCTCTAGAGGTGGGCTCTGGGACATGTTTGTTAGGGGCAATGTGACTATAGTTAAACACCATCAACATCTGTCATGTCTGGGCATGACAGATGTTGATGAGCAGTCAGGTGGAAAAGGGACCGAGAACAGGGGAAATAAAGAGTTAAATTCTCTCTGGCAGCAGTGACGTATCTCTCAGGTCCTGAGTAGGAAGCGCTTTAATCATCCCCCACAAAAACAACCCAAACAGTGATTGGCTAGTATCGCCCCGCCAGGCAGTAACGTGGCTCCCTATTGGCCAGCGTAATGGTCGTGCGCCAGCAGGGAGGAGGGGACCCCTCTCTCCACACATCGACAGCACTGTACAATAGTAGGTTGAAGCAAAGCAGAGCCCCCTTCCTGTACTGTATGTTAGGTAGAGGTCAGAGGGAGGTGAAGGGACACACTGCACCCCCCTCCCACAACAAAAAATAAAACTTCAAGAAAATGAAAGTGAAATAAAACCAAAAAAAATAAAACATACACATACTTTTTGTTCCTAGTTTAAACTGCAGAGAAGATGGGAGGGATTTGCCCCTGGGAGGAACGCTCACGCCAATTCCTGCTGGCGTGACAAACCCCTCCCCGCCACCCCAAACCCCTCAAAACCCCCCCCCCCCTCCTTCCGGTTGGTGTTGTAGCGAAATATAAGGGTAGTGGAAGGTCTCTTAAGTCCTGCTGGCGCCCAGGAAGGGGGCCAGGCTGTCTTTCCTTCTCTCTATCTGATCTTCAATCACCCCCGGGGCTGATGTCTCGCCGCCGCCCCCCCCCCCTGCTCATCTCTCCGTCACATGGTTTTGTGAAGAAGGGGTGGGCGCTGAGTCTGGGGCGGAAGGTGCTGGGGTGGGCGCGGGTGGCGGGGCGGGGGCGCAGAGGATTTCGGACAGGTCGTCCATGATACAGGTCTCCTTGGGGTCGACCAGGTTGAATTCCCTTACGAAAATGATGAAATGTGCATACAGAGTGTTCAAGTGGCCCTGCAGGTCCAGAGCCACCGTCTCTTTAAAGTGCGCCCAGTAGAGGTGAGCCAGCACGTGGAACAGGTACCGGCAGATCTTCTTCACCAAGGACTCGAAGGAGTTAGGGAACTCTTTGCCTGAAGAGAAAAAAAAACAGGAGAGACAGGATTAGGCACAATATTCACCATGAGGGAGATTAAAGGACTGCTGATGTTTTAGAGTTTTATAAATTGCCATTCAAAAAAACCTGTACAATCAAAAAGTGGTCAAATTTACATTAAAAAAGAGGAAAACAAAAAGAAGAGTTCCTATGCCCTTTAAAACATTATTCAAAGCCTTATTAATTGATATACTAATATTCGCTCAAACAATCACAATATGTCAATTTATGATCCAGATCCAGATAATTGTAATAAGCCTTTCTTTTAAAACTATTTTTAATAAAACAAACTAAATAAACAATCAATTGACGAGGAAGTAATCGGCAGATTTAACGACAGGGAAAATGATTGTGAAATGCTATAAATATAATCAATATCCTTATGGTTAACTACTCATTGACTCTCCATCTGAGGCGGCAGGGGGCAGCAGAACCACATCAGATACTTCTAGCAGGCAGTAACCTTCAGAGGAAAACTCACCATATTTTGTAGGAAAGATTTCCTCATCTGTGACCAGTTTCTGACAAAGACTCATTACGAAGTCGACGTATTGTGGAGCAGTGCACTTCGTCTTCTTCCCCCTCTCGTCATACCAGTAGTATATTCTAAAAAGAGAAAGAAATAACATGAATCCCTGTATCACAAACACATTGCAAAATACCATGCAAGACATATCACTGTGGGACATGATTCTGTTACACAACTGTGGTTTATTAATCATAGTGAATGTCTCAAATATGCTTGTGGTTGAAGACAAAGCGGCGCATTTCCTGGTGATGAAATGTATTCAAGCAGGAACAAAAACAACATGCAGGTGGCCTATGAGACATCCCTTATTTTCTCATTTAGGGAAAACCCATTGTCTCAGTGCCTTTATAAAGGACTCGGTGCAGATTAAGATACGGTCTAGCTGCACTACAACACATCCTTATCCAGATATCATGATTCAATCTGGTGGACTTTCTCAACTCCCTGAACCGGAGCTTTCATTTCAAGATTGTGAAAAATTCCTGCTGTTACAGGACCCCCCCCCGATCCCTCTGCTGATCAAATGTTTCTGGAAGGGATGACCCAGATAGCTGAAGTGTAGGCGGGCGGATCAGAGTTATAGTTAACAAATGTAAATCAGCAGGTCAGAGGCACAGAGCCAGTCACGCTAGAAGGTCACCAGACACCTTAGGAAGAGGATGAAGGAGCTAAACCAGGGACTAGTAACCACGGAGACAAAAGACCAGCTGAGTGACCCGCAATCTGGAGAGGTCGATTAATAAACTGATGAGAAATGTGCATGCAGGTGTTTCTGTGGGCAATTAGAGGGTCTGGGAGGCAGTGGGGCAGACATTACAAATCCTGAGGAATGTAAGGGGTCCACATACCTGACCCTGCTGACCACCAGACTCACTCAGGATTAGACTGTTTGTGTGTGGGAGTGACGCTGACTAACCTACAAACACTCAGACATGATGAAACCTTGGCACAAACAATATAAACAATTCTACGGAGGATAGTTTACTTACTGTTTATGAACAGATTGGTTAAGGCATGAAAGGATTATATTAAATGTATTCAACTTTTGAAATGTATTGTATTGTTTTCTTTCTTTCTTTATTCTATACTGTTTATATAACCGTATATCATGTAATCTCCTATTCCCCCTCCTAACTCCTATAAATTGTTTCTGTTTATGTTATGATGTTTATAAGTGATGATGAAATGGGAAGGGGGGGGGGGGCACTGTGCAGTGATTGACAAACCTGCACCTGCGCAGTCTATATGTTTAAGGGATGTAATAAAAGCAATAGAACACAACAAGCCGTGTCTGATTAACACCCCAAGGAGAAAAGTTTAGGTAAACAGATTCAATGATTGAGTTTAATGACTAGCTTAATGTTTCGCAAACTCTTTGCAAATAGGGAATTAAATATTTGATAGGAGATTTGTAAATGACTCTTGGTAAATGGGCTATAAGAACCCGACGCTAATGAACAGTGTGAGCACACGCATCTCAAACACACATCTATTCCCCCTCCCATACAAAGTGAGTCTAAATAGCTACCAAATGGTTCCGTTCCCTCATAGCTCATGGAAACATTTTCTTCCAAAAATAGTGCTGAGCTCTGCCTTCGGGCAGGGGCACTGACGCTGCTGCGACTGTGGCTCAGTTCACCACAGGAAAGGGTGGGGTGCTGGACAGTGGGCAGTGGGGAAGGTTCAATCATAAACAGTGTGCCTCCACTAAGAAACACAGTTTTATTGAATTCATTACCATTTAAGTGTAATCTGGGGTGGAGCTGTGAGAAGAACTCAAATGTTTTAAAGAATTGCGTCTGCTTTCCTTGGGTCAATAGACACTGCAAACAAAAACATGTTAATCCGCACTGCTCTCTCCTCTCTCCACATACTGCAGGCGAAACCCTCTGGCTTCTAGCATTTGCTCAGGGTGTGGGTTCGTAGCAGTAGCTTAAGGTGACAGCAGTGGAAAAATCCACTGTTGACCGAGAGGTTAACTTAACTCGTGACTCTCAGCAAACCTGTCACATACACGTCATCATTACTCAATGAATGTGTTGTTTGTCATCGGTGCCTTTGTCATATTTGCACATGCGCTAGTAGACCGCATGTAATGTGTTAGGAGCTGTGTAGTGAGTGTTGAGGGGAATCAGGTTTTTCCAGCCTTCAGTGTAAACAGGGGCAATG